GGCCGTACCATACCGAAGTTGGAGGGCAAGGTTCCTTCAGGTTGATCACAGCTCTGGACCTTGGTGAATGCTCACCTCAAATTCAAAAGCGGCAATTGCCAGGACATTCACCAAGACCAGACCGTAGGAGCCCATTACAAAGAGGTCCATTGCCAGTCGGATGAAGTGGCACCCTTCAACTCGATTCCGTGTCTGCCTGACCCTGTTGTTCGAGCTGAGCTGCCTTCATCAACCCCGATACTTTGCGGAAACCTCCTGAAAGTTGGCCCACACTTCCAGCTGCTCAAGTGATCTAGTAGATCCAAGTTGATTGCATTGGCGCACAAATGGGATTCCTTGATAGCATCAATGATCATGAAGCAGTTGGTTTGTTCGCAATCAGCAAGGACACATCGTGGGATCGATTAATTTTGAATCCCACCATGGTTAACTCTAGGAATCCTGGGTATTCGCATTGGACTTTAAGTACCTTGCACCACAGACTCACTTGGAGCCTGAAGAGTGCCTGAGATTCAGCTGTGATGACTTATCAGAATTCTACTACACATTTCAGGTGCCACCCCAGAGAGCCATTCGCAATGCGATCCGAATGCCGCTGCCCAGTGTGCTGTGCAACACTTCAAGGCATTTGATCGCCAACTTGGTACTGGCCCATTTTACGTCTGTCTTGCCACCATGGCTGTGGGAGATTCTTTCGCCGTCGAGGTGGCCCAGCAATCCCATCACAACGTGCTTGCCAATCTGGCACATGCAATGCGGCCTTCCGAGGCTGCTGCCTACCGCCTGCCTTATCCTCGAGGCCTCACTGCAGAGTACTTAGCGGTCGATGACCATTTGGTTGCCAAAAAGTTTCCTTTGCTGAACACCGTCAGCGTGCCTTCAAACGCGATTCCGAAATCTTCCGCGATGCTGAGTGGGCGAGACTGCAGTACACCTAGTCCAACATCCTCGCAAGATGAAGCGGAGACGACTGGTGTTGATTTGGAGGCCGACGTTGACGGCGTTCGGGTCTTGTTTCGGCGCCCCGTCACAGGATCGGAGTCCTGATGCTGATAACTGCTGAGGTAGTTCGCCGGGGCGCTGTTCAGCCAGCATGCTTTCCTCGCTGCTCGAGTTATGGGTTCACGTCTTGATGTTCCGGCGGCCAACCTTCTTGCTGCTATCTGTGTCGTTTAAGAATGCATGCCATGAACCTCGTGACAGCGTGTTCAGGCTTGACCGCCGCACCCTCAATGAACTGCACTCGCTCACCTTGTTGGCTCCTGTGCTTCAAGCCGACCTCAGAGTTCAATACTTGCCATATATATTCTGTATGGATGCGTCGCCAGGTGGCTGGCATTTGCGTCGCGGATGCTCCGGTGCATGTCACTCAGGAATTGTGGCGGCACACTGAGCAAAAAGGCTACTACACCCGTCTTGAATCGCCCGCAGCGGCGTTGCTTCGGGAACAGAGTCACAACTGTGAAGCCATTTTCGGTCCCGATGTTGTGCCCCCAGCAGCAGCTTTTGCAGGAGTTTCCGTATCCATTCCACGTCACCTTGCCGAAGGTTTGATCTTTGACACTGTCGAGCTGTTTTCTGGCGCAGCCAACTGGTCACTTGCTCACCGGGAAGCAGGCTTCAAAAATCTCACCCAGGTTTCGACTTGAAAGGCCGCAGTCTGCGCGTGATGGACATACTCGATGATTCCGCCTTCCACGAGGTTTTAAGCTTCACCTTTCGTAGGGTTGTTAGGGAGTGGCATGGTGCTCCCCCTTGCCTCACCTTTGGTACCTTGCGTAGGCCCCGCCTTAGGTCTAAGCTTAAGCCCCATGGTTTCCACCCTAATGACCCCCTTACCCGTGCACACAATCGCATGGCCCAACGCACCGGGTTCTTGTTCTGTGTGGTTGCTAGGCTAGGGGGTTTTTATAGTGTGGAGCAGCCTGGTTCTTCTGTCATGTTCCGTCTCCACATCTTTGTGGTCCTGGCATCCCTTGGGGCAGCACTGACCCGCCTGTGTTGCTGCTCTTTCGGGTTCCCGTTTAACAAACCCATGCAATGGCTTCACAACAAGCCATGGCTCGTCCCTCGAGCCGGCGGTTGCTCTTGTGCCCACAAGAACCAGCGCTTGGTGATCCAGGGCTCATTCACTCCGAGCTACCTGGTGGAGTTCACTGCTGTCCTGCTGCCGTCTTCGGCCGTGAGCCGCGGTTAGGCGAAGCAGTTGCTTCGTTTTCTGCTTCGTGCCCGCTGCTCTTTGCCGGCGCATGGCCGCTGGCAGTCGGCAGGCCAAGGATGGGCATTGTGCTGCACTGCCGTTGTCCTTGCATGCCTCTGCAGTTTCCACACTCGCTTCGGCCCCCGTGTGCGAGTTGCCTGACCTCAGCGATGCCACGATGACCCGGAGTGGATCAACGACCTCGCCGAATCCCTGTCCTTTCGCGAGGTCCTCAGGTACAAGTTTGCCCAGCAGAATCACATAAATGTTCAAGAAACCCTGGCTCAAATACCTTTGCAAGCACCGTCGTCGCTCCCGACCTGTTGGGCTTATTGATAGCCGCGTGCTCTTGGGTGCTTCGGCTAAGGGACGTTCCAGTAGCCCTGCCTTGGCACTTCCGTACGTGCTGGGAGGTGGTCTGTGCCCTGGAGGGTTGCACGTTTACTCCGAGGCTAATCGAAGTGATGGGCCCTCTCGAGGCAGACCTGTAGATCCCCCCTCTAAGCCTCTTCCTTTTTGGTATGAGAGCCTGTGTGCTGGCGACTTCCGTCGCTTTGACATTTGTGTGGCTTCTGCCGCTGTTCCCAAACAAGCTGCTCGATGGTTGCGCCTGTTGCTTCTGTTGGGGGGCGACATAGAACGCAATCCAGGGCCAGCACGTGTGCCTCGTGGTCCTCTCGACTTGACGTCCGGCTTCGTAGCAACAACTAAGCGCAAAATGCGCAAGAGCTTGGATGCTTTCGCACACTGGTTGCGCGAGGAGCTTGGCCTTTCTCTGCGTCAGGCTCTCTCGTCTGTCTCCTCTGCCGCCACTGCCTTGCGAGGTTTTGGCCTCCACCTGTACACTGCTGGGCTGCCGCGTTACCTTCTTGTGTGTGCCATCACTGCGGTTCAGGACGTTTGCCCTGAGTACCGGAATCATCTTACTCCCGCTTGGCAGATTGATAAGAAGAGGCAGCATGTTGAGCCTGGGGAGTGTCGCCCAGTCATCTCTCAGCCCATTCTGCAAGCCGCCGTTAGTTTAGGGTTGCTTTGGGGTTGGGGGGACTGGGTCGCTCTGACCCTCATAGGATTCATCTGTATGCTGCACCCCACTGAGTTCATCTCCTTGCGTCGGGGCGATTTGATTCTGCCGGCAGACGCCATGTCCCTTGATCGCATTGCTTATGTTCACGTACGCAAACCAAAGACGGCCAGGTTTGCCCGTCGTCAGCGTGCCAGGCTCGACGACGACATCACTCTTAGGTTTCTTGAACATCGTTTCGGGCGCTTGCCCCTCTCAGAGAAGCTCTTCCGTGGGTCCTTGCACACCTACCGACGGCAATGGAACGCCATCATGCATCATCTTGGCGTCCCGTACACTCAGCAGTCTAAGGGTGCAACTCCAGGGGTTCTTAGAGGGTCAGGTGCCACGTTCTTGTATCTCGAAACAGAGGATGTTCAGCTCGTTGCTTGGAGGGGGCGATGGAGCAAACTCAAGACGGTGGAGTTCTACCTCCAAGAGGTTGCGGCCCAGCTGCTCTTGCAGCAGCTCTCGGCCACAGCGCGGGCCAAGATAGCCATACTGCGGTCATACGCTTCCCGCTTGGTTGCGTTGCAATCTGTCTTCTTCAACCCGCCCTAACTCGCTTGCAATTCTCGGTGGCTGCGCCAAGCATCATAAAGACGGAAGGGTTTCGGTTTGTACGGTTCTTAGGCTAGGCGGTTTAGGTAGACCTCTCCCCTAGGGTTTCCCCGTGTCTGCCTTGCACCCACCTTGCCTTCCCGTGTGACCCTAACCCGTGTTTCCAGCAGCTGTTCTTTTCGTAGCAGGCAAAGCCTGCTCCGCTCAAAGACTGGGAAGCTTCGCGACAGCAGGCGAAAGAAGGCGCTCGGGATAGGATTGTTATAGGGTTCGTCGGATTCATCGTTCAGATTTTGATCGTTTAAGGAACGATTTCTATACCAATTCTATACCAAACGGCTTCGCTCAAGGTCGTCCTCTTTTAACCAAAATCGGGCTCCCGTACGGAGCATCTTGAAAATTTTGAAGAAAATCGCGCTCCCGTGCGGAGCATCTTTAAAATTTTGAACCAAATCGAGTTCCCGTGCGGAGCATCTTGAAAATTTTGCAAATCGAGTTCCCGTGCGGAGCATCTTTAAAATTTTGATTAAAATCGCGCTCCCGTGCGAAGCATCCTGAAAATTTTGACGAAAATCGCGCTCCCATGCGGAGCATCCTGAAAATTTTGATTAAAATCGCGTTCCCGTGCGGAGCATCTTGAAAATTTTGATTAAAATCGCGCTCCCGTGCGGAGCATCTTGAAAATTTTGATTAAAATCGCGCTCCAATGCGCGTGTGTCGCAAAAGAGTATGCTTTATTTTTCACAAACTCACTAGAAGAGATCATTCGGATATATGCGTGGTAGCCGATTTGACTGTTTGCGCCATAGTTCAATGAATGCAGTGAAAACCCATGTGCTTGAGGCGGAAGTGCCTGTGTCTGCAGGGCTTAAAGCTCAGGAGGTGAGTAGGGAAGCAGGCCGCAAGAGGAGACGTGCACATCCCAAGTCAAATGTTTCATACCATTTGTTGGATTGTTTGTAGAGCGTTGTCATGTTTGTGTCTGTGGGAGGAAAACTTGGCTAGCCAGTTGTTGCACAAAGCAGACAAGGTTTACCAAAACTTGTGCACATGCTAGCGGGTGCTGCGTAGTCGCTTGCGATACTTTGATCCTTCAGCGCCGCAGGTGTGTTCCAGCGTGAATGGTATGCTCCACACTGTACGTGTTCACATTTACGTTATTGAGAACCAGGACACATGGCAGCGGAGCGTAAGCAGGCATTGGAGAAAATGCGAGCTGCACGAAGCGTCCTCAGCTGATGTTTCATGAATGGGTTTGACATGGAAAAACGCTTGATTTAGGTGCTGGAGCGTCCAGCCTTGACGACTATATTGTTCCGGACAGTTTCCGTTGGGCATCTTTTTTGGTCTAGGGACTTGTATCTGAGCCTTTTTCAAAATTGCCCTGCGAATGATCCCTTTCGGCAGGAAGCCAAACAGATCCTGCAGGAGGCGCTTGTCGGGAGAAACATGATGTCTCTGAATGAGGTTATTGCGTTGCCATTTCTTTGAAGGCTCCCGCCCCCTGTTCAGGTTTCGGAGGAGGAGTACCAGACAATCGTGGCAGCGAGGCAAAGCGAATGGGCTCAGGGCTTGGTCAGGAGATCAGCTTGACTGACACATGATCAGATGATACCATATTCAGTTTAGGAGAGAGCATTTTTTAGTAGCTCGAGGTGGTGGGGGCAGATTCCGGCTACGTGGACGGTACGCCGCTTGCGGTATTTGTTGTGCAGACCATATCGCGTTGCTGTGAATGTTCCTTGTGTGATTGTGCCGTCAGGAGGTAAGGAGTTGTGGCAAGGCGTTGCGGCGGCTTCGAACCTCAGCAATCACTCCAATGGTTTCGTTTCAGTTATCCAACCTCTGATATCACAGAGCACATGCACAGAGGTAAGAGAGCGCGCACGCGAGGATGAATTGGAGAGGCTTGCATCGTTGGGATTTGCCTTTGTCCGTTGAATTATAGGTAGATGGTTGCTAAGTGGATCTGGCTTGCATGGCATGATGCCAGGTTTGCATTCAGAAGCATTCAGAGCATGCCAAAAGGTTTTAGCAACTTCCCAAGCCCAGACAAAACCTTCAGCTCACTTGGCTTTCCGCTATGGCAGTGTGTGTGGATCACCACTGGCCTAACCCTATCCCAGAATTTTCCTCCTCCACAGATGTTGCAGTGTTGGAGCATTGCAGGAGCAACCACTTTCATGTGAATTTCCGGCAGATAGGAGACAAGAGACAGCATTTGATTGGTAGCCAGGTATTCTTGGCCGGTCCTTGCATATTCAGGCGACAGTTGAAAGAGATGGGCTTTGATCTGAGCAGCAAGAAGGCCAGATTGAAGGCGCCATGCAAAGAACCTTCCGAATTCACCGACCGGAAGCATCCTTGTTTCATGCTGTAGCTTGCTGCACCCTGTCATCAGGAAGCTCCAGCTCCTGCGCAGCCTCAGGTACCACCAGGGCGCGGTGCCTGCATCTCAATTCGTTGTTGGATGAAGGAGTATGTCTGGTGGAGACCATGGCAAGTCAGATCCAGCTTCCAAGGCTCTTTTGGGAGCGCTGCAGAAGGGTGTAGGTGCCCCAGGTGCTCCAGGATCTTCACCAGGTGGTGCTGCCTGTAAACTGCCGTGGTTTCCCCTTCCAGGCCAGTGGACACGTAGAAGCGCAGCCTGCGCCATCCAAGAAGGCTCGCAGTGCCCGCTAGGCTTCGCGCATATGAGAGTGAAGTGGCTATTTATGGCTATGTTCTTTCCCTAAAGCATGTCTGGGTGTCCAGTCCCTGTGCGCTCTATCTTCCAAGATCACCCATTTGGACCTGGAGGAGCAAGAGAAAGCGGTTGACGCCTTGTGTGGCCCTCTGCCAGATCATTTAAATTGATATGCGACATTTGCCTGAGATAACTTGCTATGCCAAGCTGTTCTGGCACAAGAGCCTGTATGTGTCAGCATGTCATGATAGCAGCAAGACACGAGCCCAACCCGAACAGTATTGTATGAAGCCAAGATGCATCAACCTTACGAGCATTAGCTTCTTGTCGTGTTGCAACTAACTCCTCGCAGCTGTGGCAAGATGTACCTCGGCTTGGCATTTGGAGAAGCGGTCAGATTTGACTAGCCTGCTGCCACCCCGCTATGCATATCATTGTGCAAGGATGCATCTGAGGTCGGTTCTTCTCACATCCGTGAAGAACACTTTCCTGGAGGTTGCTTTTGAATTGGCCGAAGTGCAAGCACGACAATCTTCAACAGCTGATGAGCATGCTGCCGCTGTGAACCAGGCTTTCGAGGAATCCTCTCCAATCAGAGATTCGGACTGCAAGCAAAGATCACGCTCTTGCAGTGAGTTGTCCCACTCTCAGATTGCCCTCATGCCGAAACTTCCTTAACACCTACTCAGCTGAGGCCAGATGATGTCTTTGCATGTCAAGGCGGGACTATGCTGGATGGATGGCTTCCACAGAAGAACTCGTGCTGCCCCAGGAACCATGGAGCCACCGGCTCTACAGCCCCGACAGCGAGGATACAACGCAGGTGATCTTCAGAGGGCAGACTATAGCTCATTTGGATGTTTGCTTCTCACAGGAGGCATCTGCACCGTGGGCCTGCCCCAGGCCTCAGGCTACACAATGGTTGCTTGGAGCCAAGCTCTGCGCTCAGTAAGGTGGCCGAGTAGCGTAGTGTAGTCCTAGGTGAAGAACACCTTCTTCGAGGTGAAGGACTGGCCTTTGGGTATCATCTGGGGTTGTATGTCTCGGCTCTGGACAACATAACCCTAATATAACCTCTATATAATGCCTATAGAACCCCCAGTATAATCCCATAGAACCCCTATATAACTCCTGTCCAGCCCCAATCTATACGAGTGCCCAGGAGGATGGCTCGCCAAAGCGACTGCGGAGATGTCAGTCGGACGGCGACATCCAGGACTTCAGTGCAGATTGTATTCAGGTATATTCTCGTATATTATAGTTTGTTATACTGAATTGTGGTAGATTCCTGTGACACCTGCTGGTACTATAGCTGCTGCCGCTTGTGTTTCTGCTTCTCCTGCTTCGAAGCACGCTGCCTCTGTTACTACCATTATCTCCTTCTGTCCTTACTGATAATCATAACTGTGCTGCCACTAGCGGCACTCACTAGCGCCTATGCACTGCATGTACCGACTATTTGGTGTCAATCCCATAGTCGCATTCTTCTGCACATTTCGCTCTAGGCTCCAGCGGTTCCTGACCGAGATATGGATGTATTGCTGGAACCTGATGAGGCCCGGAATACCATGAAACACCATCTAAGAGGAATTGGCAGGTTGCGTGGAATCTATTACAAAGTATGCAGCTGCTATCCAATTTGGACCCTTGGACTTGACATACGCAGTAGCTGCCATTGACTGACTCCGCCCCAAAGACAGCACTCTGCGTGCCTTGCTCAGGAATCTCTGACCTTGGTTCTGTTGACTATAGTCACCCTTAAGTAGATAGAATATGGGGTATATGGGGATCTTATTAAAATATACCCAAAGCCATATTCTATCTACTTAAGGGGAGCTGTATCCCCATAGCTGTTGACCAGCAATCAGCATATAGACGCAGAAGCGTTTCGAAAGTTCACAGCACCTTCCTGGCAGGTTCCTGGGTTGGACGGAGATGTCCCAAAACCACCGAGCGAAGTGCGTGGCCCTTGGCCTGACAGTTCGAGTGTGCTTGAGTCAGGCTGGTTTAGGGTTTAGGGTTTGGGGTTTAGAGTTCTGTACTTTTTGTACTGTCCTCGCAGGGATACCATGAATGCATGTAGTACCCCTATCTGGTCCCTATAGAATCCCTGCATGTCCTTATATAGTCCCCATTGAGGCCACGGCAGCATCCAACTCGGATTCTCCCAGGCTGGATTCTTGTGAGAGTGGCGAGAGATGCCAGCTGCAATATGGGGGTAATATAAGGTTAGATAGAAACAACATAAGGGTATTTCAGGGGATATAGGGACAAAATATGGCTAAATAGGAATTATATAGTGATTATAAAAGGGTACTGTACTGGGAGTAACCGTAGATGTTTCTGCGCTCTCTCCACGAACTGGTCTTATCTTTGCAGCCGGTGTGGCTTGTGTTGTAACATGAGTGTGCTTTGGTCTCTATGTAGGGCTATGTCATCACAAGAAGGTACCTCTATTGTGCCTCTATAGTACCCCTCTAGAGTCCTTATGTACTGTACACCAGGTCGCCCCTAGCTGCGTCGGAGTGCTGCCCTCAACCCCAAACCCTAAGTAGTCGTTTCCATTTTCTTTTCCATTATCCTTAAACGGCCCAATACATTCCCTTATTACCTATGTAGTAAACCTGCAGGCCAGCCTGCTGTTGCCCCCATGCCGAATCCGGCATTTTCGATGCTTCCAAGCCAAGTCCAGGCATCGACCCAAGGAGCCGTGTGGATGTTTTTTTGCTGCCTTGGGTTCTCTCCAAATTTCTGGATCCTTTGTTTGGGAGTCTTACAAAGCATGGTTTTTGTGGATTCTGGACTCTTTCAGCAAAACTTTGAATATGGCACATGCTTTTCCACTTTGGTGCGAGACGCCGCTAAATCACCTCGACTTGCTGGCGCGCATCTTTGTTTCTTCCACTTACATGCATCATGCATCGACTAAGTGGTGACAGCTTGATAATCCTAGCACCGGATTAATGTGGGGGGGGGCCCCCCCCCCGGCCCGAAATGGAGGGCGCCAGATTAAACGTATGATTGCGGTTCCTGGAATTCAATTAAAAAAGAATGGGAATGCATTCCCGCGTCATC